AAAATGGTCTCTTCTGTTGACCCTAATGACCAACACAACAGAGTTGTTGATCCAGGCCTTCTTTATGGCTGGTGTTATTTGGCCCTAATGGTCTTTTATGATGGGGTACCATAAAGCCCGAATGTGAAGTCGTAACAGCCAGCACACTTGACCGGCTCGTCTGATCCCAAAGCACTGACCTATCATTTCTGGTAGGAACCTTAAGTCCAAATCTCACTATAAAATTAATAACTCTGGTCCTGGGGGTACTACATTACACACAATAACCCTTCTGAGGCAAACATACCTCGCAGGCATATCAAAATTTTCCATCACTTTCTGTCTGCTGAAACCATAAATCTAATGGAGCTCCAGATATTAGTTCTAATCCTAATCCAGTGGGGGACAGTCCTGCTGGTGCCAGGTGCACCAGCACAGTGTCCACAGGCTCCATAGTATGGAGCTGTGTTGTCCTCTGTGACTAGAGTCTATCTCCTTATTAGAATCCTCCTTGGTTCCGTTGGGTGTTACTGGGCCTGCTGTCCAATTGGGAGCAGTCTTTATCACAGTCATTCAGGACTTTATGACTCAGATGACTCGAGGAGCTACCATGCAAGGCCGAGGAGGCCGTTCTCTCCATCAGACACCCAGCGTGCCAGTTTTTCTGCTGCGGTAAGTGGAGTAAGCAGGGGGTCAGAAGCTGCTATTTGGGAGCAATGCCAGGAGCATCCCTCTCAATCAGGATCCTCACAAGTTGGGGGTGAGCCAAGGTGTGGGGGCTGAGAACATGTCCTATCTCCCTCTGGTAAAGTCAGAAGAGACCAAAAGGACACTCTAGATGGAGCAGAGTCAAGGGCTAAGCAATTGGAGTCCCAGTATGTTCTTACTCAGGACCATGCTATTATGCCTCCCTAGTTGCCTACAGAGAAATTATTTTTGTCTGTGTTCCAGCGACTAAAACAAATTTGTTGCACCAATCACAGCGTATATCTGAACAAAGTGAGAAACATGATAGATTGCTGGTGTTGTTGGCTAAGGAACATTCAGCTACGGCTACTGTAGCTAGAATAGAAGGCCTGTGTCAGGAACCGGCTCTGAACCCGGGGCCTCTGCTGTAGCTGGCGGTGGTTCTACCTGCTGAGCCACTGTAGAACCTTAGGTAGCTCCTTACCTGCTCTCCTGTGTAATCCTCAGGTAACCCTAGTTCCTGCTGAACTCTTTGCTCCTCCCCTGAACTTCCTATTTTAGCCACGCCTCTGCACTTCCTGTTTGCCAGATTATTGTGCTCCTGCCATTTCTTGCTTCCTGCTCCTTCTGTGATACAATCCTCTCATACTGCTGCCCGTGTACCGACCTTTGGCTGCTGATTCACCGACTACTCTCATCGTCTTCCGCTTCATACCTGATACCTTTGGCACCTGACCTCGGCTTGTTCACTGACTACGCTTCTGCCTGCTCCTCCATTACCACCGTCTGCTTGTGTACCGAACTCGGCCTGTTATACTACCAGTTGCCTGATGCTTCAGCTACTGGACTCCGAGTCTGATCCCAGATCGTGACAGCCTGGGGGGAACCTGCTAAGACTCAGATTCTATTACTCCCAGGTTAACTGCCTTTTATGAGCTCCTATATTCTTCTAGGGCCACCTATGACCCTGAGGCCTTGACCCAATATTTAGATCTTATTGATTTCCTTACCCATACATCTCAAAGAAGGAAACAGTTAGGCCCATATCAACTTTGAGGAGGTGACGTGTTATATCCTCTTTGCAATCAAGGGGACCCCTGGGGCTGAGGGACTACCTTTTGAATTTATTAAGACTTATGCGAATGTCCTTGCCCTCCGATTGTTGGATCTTTTTAATACAGCTCTCATCCGGGGTCTCCTTACTGATACTATGATGGTGGGCATTATAGTGGTGATTCCCAAGCCTGGCAGGAACCCTGATCTGTGTTCATCATATAGACCTATTTCATTACTGAATACTTGCTAAAATCATGGCTCAACAATGTCATTCTTCGCCTAATACATGGAGACTAGTCGGGGTTCATGCCAGGCAAGTGTACGGATATTAATCTATGTTGATTGTTTATGGTTGTGAATAGGGCAAAGCGTAGTGGGGCCCCAGGAGTAATAGCTTCTTTAGATGCCGAGAAGGCTTTTGATTCATTGGAGTGGGACTACTTATGGTACTTATATTTCCAGCTCCCTTGTCCACTCCTCCCATACTCGCCTCCAGGACTTCTCTAGAGTCTCTCCCATCCTCTGGAACTCCTTACCCCAACCTGTACCTCTATCTACCACCTTGACTGCCTATAGGCGTTCCCTAAAGACTCATCTCTTCAGGGAAGCCTATCCCACCTCAACCTGACCACTGAACCATCACATTATCACATAATTCATTCCCACAGCTCCCTCCTCATGTATCATTTCACCATCCTCTTTTAGATTGTAAGCCCTCAGGGGCAGGGCCCTCCTTACCATCTTGTCTTGAATTGTATTTTAACTGTAATGTCTTCCTTATATTGTAAAGCGCTGTGCAAACTGTTGGCGCTATATAAATACTGTGTAATAATAATAATAATGGTCTGTTTTGCGGAAGATTGGATTTGGCCACAACCTTATCTCCTGGGTACACTTACTCTATTTCTATTCTACATTGAACAGATGGACACATCAGTGCTGCCCTCTTTCGCTGGGCTTGTTTGCGCTGGCACTTGAGCCTCTTGCCATTTTACCGAGAGCCTCAGCTGTGATGCGTGTTATTAGAATTGGCCCTTTGGAAGAGAAGGTCTCATTGTACACCGATGATACCCTAATTTACTTCGGCAACGCTTGTGATTCCCTTCTGACAGCCCTCCGACTATTTGATGAATTTGGCTTCTACTCACGGATAAATCCTCACTTTTTAAGCTGTACCCCTCCATTCCTCTACAGGCTTCTTCTACTCCCCTTCAGTGGGTCTCACAACTTAAATATCTAGGCATGGAGATCAGGGATAGTCTTTTTCACTACGTTGTTGATAATCTACACCCTGTTCTCCGACTGCTAACCTGTAAGTATAACTCCTGGAAGACTCTTCTGCTTACCCCGGTGGGTAGAGTTAATAGTGTAAAAATTATTTTCCTCCCAAATGTTTTTCGACACACCCCTTTTCCTGTTACTAGAGGGTTTTTGTTAAAATAGATACTGTTATTCCCTCTTTTGTCAGCCGAGATTTTCCAGGGCTGTGTCACAACTCCCTTTATCACAGGGCAGCCTAAAGCTTCCATGTTTTCAAAAATATTACTGGGCTGCTGTTCGGGTGACAGTGCGCATGTGGTGATCCCATTCCATTGATAATCCAGCAGTGAGTCTAGAGGCGGCCATTTTTGGTTAGTATGCTGAGTTCAGTATTCTGATATTTCGAGGTCCTAAATCTAATCCTGATGTCACCACCCATATGAAAACTATCCTGATAGTCTCAGAACAGTGTGGATTTACGCCCCTCTATTCTTCACATACCCCATTATGGGGTAATCCTGTGCTCCCCCACCTGCATTCAATCCCTGAACCCCAGCTTTGGGCCAGATTTGGAATTAAGACACTACAACATATTATGCCAAAGGGCTCACTGCTGGATTTCAGTGCACTCCAACTAGCCTTTCAACTGCTGAACTGGATGTTTTTTAGATTCCTCCATTCTATCCGCTCCCAATTCCCTGGGCCTATTACCCTTGAATCTCACCACATTGAGAAGCTACTTAGAGCTTCTGGGATTGGGTAGATTCTCTCCTCCATTTATCTTCGATCGTCCTGTGTTGCCACCTCGGGGGGCTCTAGTCTTTTTGTTAAGTGGCAACAAGACATTACTGACCTAGTGGAGGATGATTGGGATGATGGTGTCCGACAATATATACCCCCTTATGATTTCAGCCATGGACAGGTATATTGAATTGATTTGTTTACATCCAGTATATTACACCCCTCCTAAGACTTAATACTATATATATACAACTCTTGATGCCCCCTGTACCACATGTCGTGCCTCATTGGGGTCTTTCATTCATATGGTGTTGGCTTTCCCTCGGATACAAATATTTTGGTCTGAAGTAATAGATACTCTTAATGTGATTTATCATTGTCAATGGACGCCAGTCTTACACTCCCGGGATTGACGTATCTACTCGATGCCACTTCCCATCAAAAATTGTTCATCTTTTATTCTCTATATTATGCCGGGTGAGCTATATTATTCAGATGGAAATTACATGTTGCCCCGACAATTGCTATGTTGAAGGCTGACATAAATGAGGCCTTGTATAAACTTATCTATATGGGTTGTAACTGCTCTGCCAAAAGATTTGGGGGCTCTGGGTTGAGGCCCATGGCCTGGCGGTATAATGCCAGCCTATGTATCTCACCCTACGTATTGCCTTTGTATGCACTGGCATTTTCTCCCATCCCCCATCCCCTTTTTCTCCTCCCACCTAATCAGTGATGGTCATGACGTTCTGCTTTCTCTGATGTGGTTGAGGTGGGGGGGATGCAATATAACAAAACATACACATACAAGTGATAAATCTGCTGCTCGTGGAAGCAATCATCATATAAAATACATCCAAAACCCAACAGAGATGGTGGGAGCCCCTCACAATGTCAACTGGGGGTGTACAGACCCGGGAACTCAGCACAGGGATGGTGGGGGCCCCTCATAATGGGCACAGCGGGTGTACAGACCCGGGAACTCAGCACAGGGATGGTGGGGGCCCCTCATAATGGGCACAGCGGGTGTACAGACCCAGGAACTCAGCACAGAGATCTCACCATAGAGGAAGAGAGAAAAAGTAATTGAATATAACTCTTCTCCATCCAACAAACACTGAAATATTCTTCTTGGTGGTTGTGACTCTACAACATAAATAGATTATATGTGAGAAGAGGAAGCACAAACTTCTTCCTGTGTGAGTTCTCTCGACGTCTTATTCTTCACCCTCATAGACCGGACCCCCCGACTGCAGCAATGTGTCCCCTCCGTGTCCTCCTCCTCCTGTGGGCTCTTGTCTGTCTGGGCGGAGGTATGTAAGAACATTATACAGAGGTGATGATATGATGATTAGACAGAGAACATATCAGAGACATAATGCAGCAATGTTTCTATTAGAGATGTAATGTGTCGTTAGAAACGGGACATATTATAGAATACAATTTGTACTTTTTACCTTCAGTGACACTCGTTGTTATAAAACTAACACCGGCCAACACTAGATACAAATCTGACTGATGAATGGAGATGAGGGGAATTGTCCAATGTTCTAGGTGGATCTCCAGTTGGATCCGGTCCTGCAGGGGGCTCGTCATTTCTATAGTAGGGAAGCTTTTCAAATTTGGAGCTCTACTATCCCCCGGCTCTTCTGAAGGTTGGTACTAACAAACCTTCCTTTACATGGCTGACCCTCCATGGCTCTTTTACATGTGGCTTCACTACATGCAGATATGAGAAGTCACATCAGAGAGTCAAACATATGAAGTCTGTAGGTACAGAAGAGATTTTTCCAATACGCCAATTTCTGAATTCTACCAGAAAAATGTTGATGATTGAATCCCATCTACTAAATGTGAGATGTGATATGTGGGATATACTGGGAGACCCGTGAGGATACGAAGAGCTGAACATCATTGTGTAGGACAGAGGGCTGGGGGTGCTCATCATTCCAATGTCTGACAATATTAAGGCTTATATGCTAATATTGGTATAATAACAGGTCCACTTGCTACAATTCCTTTTTACATTGAGAAGAACAATGTCCTCAGAATGTGAAGATAGAATGTCCTCAGAATGTGAAGATAGAATGTCCTCAGAATGTGAAGATAGAACGTCCTCAGAATGTGAAGATAGAATGTCCTTAGAACGTGAAGATAGAACGTCCTCAGAATGTGAAGATAGAATGTCCTCAGAATGTGAAGATAGAATGTCCTCAGAATGTGAAGATAGAACGTCCTCAGAATGTGAAGATAGAATGTCCTTAGAATGTGAAGATAGAACGTGAAGATAGAACGTCCTCAGAATGTGAAGATAGAACGTGAAGATAGAATGTCCTCAGAATGTGAAGATAGAACGTCCTCAGAATGTGAAGATAGAATGTCCTCAGAACGTGAAGATAGAACGTCCTCAGAATGTGAAGATAGAATGTCCTTAGAATGTGAAGATAGAATGTCCTCAGAATGTGTGGTTAGAATGTGATTGGAAGGGTTTGCTGTGGAGACATTTGGTCTCCTTCTGATGTACATAGAGACATTTCAGGCTATGAGTTCAGCTGATAAGGTTTTCCATAACTAGAAAGAAAAGTCTCTTGTAATCCGTGTAAATGTTATGTGCGCAGGTTGTACAAATTCTTGAGTCCATGTTTTAGGGAGGTCCTGTGTGACAGCTTGTGTCCCTGTGAAGAGTAGTGATGGGTGAACTTGCTCGGGATCGATTCGCAGGTCCATTGAGTGAACACGCTAAAACGTTCTCCAGTTGCGAACTTTAATGTTACATAGTATTTGAGGTTGAATAAAGACACAGGTCCATCAAGTTCAACCTTATGTGTCTGTGTGCGTAGTGCGTGCATATGTGTATGCGAGTCCCTGTGTAGTTCTAGGTTTTAGGAGTCCCTGTACCCCTGTATGTTACGGTCTCTGAGGAAAGTATCTAATTGATGTTTTAATGATTCAATACTCTCTACTGATATACTCAGCTTGTGGCAGAGAGTTCCAAAATGTAACCGCTCTCACTGAGAAGAGTCCTCTACACCCTTTGTGGTGAAATCTTTTCTCCACCAGTGTTAAGTGGCGGCCTCTATTCTTCGTTAAGGAGTTTAGAGTAAAAAGTTTATTGCTGATGTTGCATCTCCACTAAACATCTTATACATCAAATCATCATGTCCCCTCCTAATCTCCTCACCTCCAGCGTGAACACATTTACATTTAGTAGCCTTGTCTCATAGCTTTGGTCCTCCAGCCCCTCCCCCTTGTCTCATAGCTTTGGTCCTCCAGCCCCTCCTCCTTGTCTCATAGCTTTGGCCCTCCATCCCCTTTAATGAGTTTGGTTGCTGTTCTCTGGACTCTCTCCAGCTCCAGGACGTCCTTTCTGTGGATTGGTGACCAAAACTGAACCGCATACTCCAGATGAGGCCGAACCAGCGATGTGTAAAGTGGCAAAATTATAGACTTGTCTCTACAGTACATTCCCTTTAGAATACAAGACAGAACTCTGCTCGCTGTGCGTCCCGCAGACTGGCATTGTGTGCCGCAGCCTGGCATTGTGTGCCGCAGCCTGGCATTGTGTGCCGCAGCCTGGCATTGTATGCCGCAGCCTGGCATTGTGTGCCGCAGCCCGACATCCAGGTCCTCCTGTAATGTTATAGTATCTAAGTCCGTGTCTATTACCCTCCAATTTTAGTGTCATCAGCAAACACAGAAACACGGCTATTCACACCCTCCCCTATATCTTTAATAAACACGTTACACAGTATGGGGCCCAGCACAGAACTCCAGGGCCCGCCACTCTCCACCTTACACCAATCTGAAAAGGAGCCATTTATCAATACTCTCTGAACCCGTTCCTGTAGCCAGTTCTCTGTCCATGTCATCTATGCCCATAGACCTCAGCTTGTGTACTAAGCATTTATGTGGTACCGTGTCAAAAGCTTTGGTAAAGTCCAGATATACCACATCCACCGACCTCCCTCCATCCAGATACACCACATCCACCGGCCTCCCTCCATCCAGGTACACCACATCCACCAGCCTCCCTCCATCCAGGTACACCACATCTACCGGCCTCCCTCCATCCAGATACACCACATCCACCAGTCTCCCTCCCTCCAGGTACACCACATCCACCGGCTGTAGAATGTGCTCTGCTTTGGGGGCGCCTTAAATTACTGATGAACAACTGAATCCTAAATAAGTGTCGGGGGGTTTATTTACAAACAGGGATATACATACATTCTAATTACAATTAAGGGTATTGGAGGGGGTCAGTAGGGATTGGAGGGGGTCAGTAGGGATAGGAATTGAGGGTAAGGATCCTTCAGCTGGCCACACCATTCTTTCTGTCTCAGTCACACATGCCATGGGGTTTTTCTCTGTGCTCAGGACACGCCTCTCCAGCAGGTCTCAGCCAATCACACTCTTGATTGTAGAGTCCAGAAAGACTTGTCTTGTCCAAGAGGGCACCAAGGTTACCATTGTTCCTGCTGGTGAGCTAGGTTAGTGCAGATGATCGCACAGGAAGAAGGTTTCATCATATGTCCCTGCCCCCATCCCAGCATGTATGCTTCCTTGCTGACACAGGTGTGGGCAGTAAATACCAGCAGGGGGTCTGGCTTGCCCCAGGAACCCTTTGATGGTCCTCATTTGCGTATCGCACAGCCACCTGCTGATTCAGTTCAGGATATCAAGGAACCTTTACATCAAAGCTTTTCCATAGATATTCATTTTATCGGCTCCAACATTCCCGGGTCTTGTGCCTATATTGGCGCACACACTCAAAAAACAAGCCACAGAAATTGATATCTGCATTACTCCCGTCCTGCATAGCGGCCTTTCTTCGGAGACAGTTTCTTCGCCAACATGGGCAGGCATAGACAGAGCAGGAACCCATTCATACAACAGTCACACGCTATTCATAGTTACATAGTATTTGAGGTTGAATAAAGACATTAGTCCATCAAGTCCAACCTATTAGGATCTCATTCTAGGAGTACCTGTACCCCTGTATGTTACCTGTACCCCTGTATATTACCTGTACCTCTGTATATTACCTGTACCCCTGTATATTACCTGTACCCCTGTATGTTACCTGTTACCTGTACCCCTGTATATTACGGTCCCTTAAGAAATCGTCCAAAAGTTTCTTGAACAATTCCACATTATTTGCTGAGATCGCCGCCTGTGGCAGTGAGTTCCGGACCCTAACTGATCTTACTGTGAAGAACCCCCTTCGCCCCTTGTGCTGGAATTTTTTTTCCACCAATTTTAGGTGGCGGCCTCTAGTTTTTGTAATGGAGTTAATTTTAAACAGTTTATCGCTAATGTTGCTGCCACCATTGAACATTTTGTACATGGAGATCATATCCCCCCTTAATCTCCTCACCTCCAATGTGAACATGTTTAAATTTAGTAGCCTCGTCTCGTAGCTCTGGTCCTCCAGCCCCTCCCCCTTGTCTCGTAGCTCTGGTCCTCCATACCCCTAATTCCACATGAATATTAATAAATAAATAACAATTCACAAATATCCCTCATGATAATCACAGGGAAATCTACATATCATACATTGGTATCACATATGTAACATTACACCGTGCTAATTAACTCGATCCCTTAACCAGATTGTCATTTTACTACAAACTAGTCTTGCTCGTCAGCTGCCTTATATGACTGGACTATGGGGAGCTGAATTCAGCAATGTGGACTTTAATGCTGCCGGTGCGCACTCCATAATAACATTCTGAACGCTCTGTGCATTGCTCTGGCTCACAAGTCCAATCCAGCTGAATTCTACTTCTCACAAAATCAAAGGTACATGATAGATGTATATACTGTATGTCTAATACAGATGATTCTAATGTATGCTGTGCTCTGTATTGGCCAATAAGCATAACGTGAAATTCTGGACTGTTACCCATAATGCCCTACTCTGCATGATTTTAACTAGACAAAAAAATCCAGGCCTCATTCATGATAATCGAGTACACCATTTGCGTAAATCAACCACCACCCAGATGCTACAACTGTCCGGTATACACGTCAACATTTCCAGCAGGCTGGATAATTTCATGGTTTCCTGTTGGTCATTTTGCATTCGTACCCAAGTACAATAGGTGCGGCAAGAGACCTATGATGGGGCTCTTCAAAGACTCAAAGATGTGCCCGAAGATTGAATAGACACGGCTAGGGATTCACAGATACTTTTTGAGTACCAGTGCCGATACTCGGCATTTTCATGATAACTACCAGCGGTTGCAGCGGTCGCAGCTGGGACCGGGCTCTGGCGCTCCACCACTGTCCTGGAATCATCAGTCTGTATTGTTTTAGAAAAACTGTCACATGACAATAAACAAAAATGTATCAGTACTCGTACTTGTAAGTACTCGGCAAGTACCAGTACTCGTACCCGCAAAACTGGTATCTGTGTATCCCTTTATTTATATTTATAAAAACAAAATGATACATTAAAACAGAGATGTACAAATCCCGGGAGCTCCGTGTGCTCCTTACACATGACAGCGGCCTCCCAATTTTTGAATTTTTTTCTAGTGTAGTCTTGGAGCTCAAAAGTATCGGTACTTGTACCGAGTACTGTACTTGGTATCTGTGCAACCCTAGACACGGCCATATCAAACTACTGACAATTAGTTTTTAGCACCTCAATATGGCTGATATATTGATAGGAACTTCTGCTTCCTCCAACTTCCACCCACTGACTTAATGGTGCAAGTAAGAGGAACAAAACAAAAAGCACTCGGCAATATGGTGAGCTCAGGGATTACTTAAAACTTATGCAAGACAACCACATGTGTTCTTCCATGGTCCATGGCAGACCTTCCCCCATGCAGACTTCTAGCTAATGTCTGTGCGCATTTAAATGGGGCAATGTCCTTTCGTTTCCAATCCTCTGCCACACCCTGAGACCAATCCAAGTCACTCTTCCTTTGCTAGGCCGTGTCCAAGGTCTGTCCATCAATAATTATGTGCATGATGAACGACTATGAATGTAGTCCAATTGCCACCACAAGATTGGCCTGCTGCTACTTCTCCGGGGTCCCAAATTTGGATATGTAATTTCGCCTCATTACAGATCCTGGAACTATACACCAAGAGCCGAATCATTATTCTTAGCAGTCAATACCTCTCTCCACCTACATGTAACTTCACTAATATGCCTACGTTCAGACCAGGCTGTCATCTTCATCTATCCTAGCTGGGGGGTATCTGTAAGCCACATAATAAAAACCATTGCTTCTTAGTGTAACTATAATTTTTTTCTAACACATCCCCCCATTTGGTACCATGTTACACTGGTACCATACTAACTAGAAAATAATGAATCTGGTAAACAACTTTGAAGTTAATTGCCTCTCCCCGCAGTGGGACAAAAAAACTTTAAAAAAAAATACCTTGTTCATTTAAAAATGTTAACAAGGAAAACAAAACATTTAACCCCTTCGTGACTGACGACGTGCAGTGTACGGCATGGGGGGCTTGTAAGCCCCCCTATGTGATAGCAGTCAAAGTAAAGTTAAAAATAAAAAGCTTTTTCAATTAAAATGAAATAAAATGAATCTATTAATAATAAAAAAAATGTAAAAGTCCCCCGCCCCCATGAGCACGCGCGTCGCCATGTAAACACGCGTCGGGTGCGCCTACGTATTAAAAAAATAAAAAAAAAAAAAAAAAAAGCCTCAGTCATGAAGGGGTTAAAGGTAGAAAAAAAAATCACATACAAATATTCTGCTGGCCATGAACACATCACACACAGACCGACAAACACACTAACACCATCCCCCAACCTCAGCGTTTGTTCTGGTGTGCGAACAAAGACATCCTGAGTAAGGATGGGCTTGGGGGTGTTTGCAGCTCCGAGCCCGCCACGAAGCTGACAGCGCCGCAGCGCCAATCACAGGTACTGAGACATTTTCTCGGTCCGCAGCTGCAGAGAGCAGTGCCTGTGATTGGCGTTGCGCGCTGTCAGCTTCCTGGCGGGCTCGGCACGTGGAGTTGTGAACACGCCCGAGCCCATCCTTAATCCTGACTACGCTTCCTGTGAGTTCCATTGAAAGAGCAAATGCTATTCACACTAGGGTTGCCACCTTTTCTTCAAGCGAAACCCGAACACTCCAGCGACGCACGGTGATTTTTGGGGGAGAATGAGTCGTGGCTTGTTCATATGTAAAAAGTCCCGCCCATTCATATGTAAATATCACAATAGAGACTATTTTCAGTGGGGGACAGTAGCCCCTATATTAATTTTTGTTGCCCCCTGTCTGTATGACATCTTGTGTCCGGATTTCTGCTGCCATGGAACCCGGACACGGCATTCAAAACCCGAACTGTCCGGGTGAATCCTGGACAGGTGGCAACCCTAATTCACACCTAAAAACACAAAAGGATGTGGGGGAAAACAAAAATACATGCACATCACAGAGGGACAGTATGCATGACTGTTTTAACCAACAAATGCCTGACTGTTGTTTCGTTGTTTGCAAACAATTACTAATTATTGAGCTCATGATACCACGTGGTGACTATGAAGACCTTTTGAAACTGATCTAACTCATGCTACACTAAATGTAGTCAGTACTGTTCTTCCACTCCACATAAAACCTGCGAACAAAACAAAAACATTCGTGTTTAGCCAGCTTGACTTTCTAAGCCGCCTTCAGTGGCCCCTGAAACAGAAACACACAGACAATGATTACAGACAATTATCATAACAATCAAATCCTTATTCCCTCAGCCTTGTCCTGCTATCCTTATGGTTAGACTATAAGTTCCATATTTCTCCTAAACTAAGCCGGCATTGCTCACTTTGCCATATTATTAATGAAAAACGGTAACCCAATTTGGGACCAACTGCACACCAGCCAAAATGGAAGATTAGCCCAGGGTGCAAACATTGGTATGCTCGCCCCCCCTGGCTGCTGGCTATTCGGAGGGTGGGGGCCATTGTTACTTGTAATCTCCTTCTTTTGCCCCTCAGCCTTTCCTGACTCCCCAAGGCTGCTATCCATCACATCGGGCTCCTGTGGTATGCTCTCCTTGTACTGGGTGGAGGTGCTCATCTCAGATATATACGTTCATTATCATTCTTTACCAGGCTGGAAATATCGGGGGTTCTACAAAATAAATTGGCCTGGTGGTTGTTGGCAGGGGGGCTCATCTGGATCTGAGTACCCCCTTTCATAAAGGGGGCATACAGATGCCGCCCCCTCTTTAGTGAATGATTAAGGGGTACTTGTAGCTCTACTCATTCATTAAAGGGTTAAATAAAATGTATATAAAACACACAAAACCTTAGAACAAATTCCTTTAATTGAACAAAATTTTTTTGACAATTCCTTTATTTAAAGAAAATTAAACCCGTGAAGTCATTCCAGCGCCGGCCGACAAATGGAAAAACAAACCTCCCGGATGCAATGTTTACACCGGGCAGAAATAAACAAAGCCTGCTATTGGCTATTCAAAATTGAAATAGCCAATAGCATGCTACTTAATGCTCCGCCCACTGCCTGATGTCAGTCACAGAAGAGCGGTTAAATGTTTCCCTTTCCTGCAGGAGGTCGGCCTCACTCCCGGTGCCGGGGACAACTTGTCCATAAGATCTCCCTTTAGGTGGACATGCAAAGTTCTCCACCAACCCAACTCAGAGGACAACCCGAACCTCACCCCCTAATGATGACCATCCAATGTCAGACCTCCACGGGCCGCGCTCATCTCCTCTCCTAATCTTTACTTTTACTTTGTAACTCTTTTCTTCTTATCATTGGAGTGTACACGGCCCTGCGACCTGACTGTGATCTGTATTCTGTCTGTACAGGAAATGTCTCCGGTGTTCAGGAGGAAATATTCACCCGGCCGGGATCTGACCTTCTCCTCCCCATCAGACGCCATCTCACCCTCAGCCATACAGATGGACGGAGCTGTGACCAGTATGAATGGACATATAAAGATCCCTCCAGATACAACGAGACCAGACTAGCCAGACACAGGGGGTGTAACGTGACTACAACTCCCCCAATCTTCCCCAATACCAGGACATCAGAGAATGGAAGTCTGATAATAGACGGTGTGACTCGGGACAATGACGGGGTATACAGAGTGGTAATACACAACTCTACAGGAAGCTACATACAGACAGATGATTACACCGTCCATGTAGAAGGTAAGTCCCGTCCAATCCTCCCCTCCAGTCCTAGCAGTGTCCTCGCCGCTCCGTGTCTTTATATACATGATATAGTAGAAGAGCTGGGAGACACGTATGTACAATGTCCTCTGCTCACTGCCCCATCCCCACCATTCCCCGTGTATTCACATACGCAGTGCTCAGCCCTCCTGATGTTCCTGTGACCTGAACTGTGCTGTGTCTTCTGCTCGGGGCCCCCGAGTCTCAGATCTGACCATTGATGGCAGTGGGACAGATCCCCAATACACACACTGACAATGCAGCAATCCGGAGACCTCGGAGGGGATTCCACTGACCCCAGTTGGGGCTCCGACCCCCCAGGCTGCCCCCCTGACCCGGACGGAGCCGACTCTCCGCTGGAAGTTGGAGTTCAGTTTACTGGGATGAAGCCGATTCTTCAGAACTCCAGAGTGAAGTTTCTGCCAACGGCAACCAATCAGGTGTCACCTC